TTTTCTGTGCGTCTTTCTCTAGCTCCTATCTGGAGTCTCTAAACACACCAGGTCATTTGTTTAGCTATGTTTTCCTTTGGTCCTAAGGAAATTTTTCCCCTGCTGAAGCCAATCCAAGAAGCTATAGGCTGGGCTTTGTGAGTCAGAAGGCAGAGTATGGTGCAAACAGGAAAGCAGATAAAGACTGGTGAGTGGGGACTTTCCTGATGGTCCAGTGGATAAGAATCTGCCTGCTAATGCAGGGGACACTGGTTCGATCCCTAGTTCAGGAAGATTCCACACGCCACGGAGCAACTAAGCCCATGTGCCACGGCTACTGAGCCCGTGCTCCAGAGCCAGGGAGCCGCAGCCACTGAAGCCTGCGTGCCCGAAAGCCCGCGCTCCCCGGCAAGCGGAGCCACCACGAAGAGAAGCCCGCGCGTAGCAACGGAGACCCAGCAATGCCAAAGACAAGTGTGAATCAATCAATTGATTAAAAAAAAGATTGGTGAGTGACATTTGTGCAAGCATACAAATGACTCCCTGCACCAAAGTGGAAGAGAAACTGTGATTTGGTGCTGCCGCGTGAGGTGATAAAAGCTGAAATGTCAGAAACATTAACACTATGCATACGAGAATGTCTTTCTCTCAAATGTCAGACTAGCAACCAGTCTGGATTTCCATTCCTTTGTAAATGTTTTTCTTTTTTTTCCTTTCCTGGGAACTGAAGGTGATCCTTCACTGCCACATTTTCCCATTTTCACTCTAAAGGCAATCTGTTCTACGCTGTTCCCCAATGAGGGCTGAAATGACTTCTACGTATATGTGACTGACTCTACACCAACATTGTCAGGAAAGGAAGAACGGGAGGTAGGGATGAGAATGCAAGTTGAAACTAAACACAGTTTTGAACTTTCAGAGATTTAGAAAAATGGAGGAAGAGGGTAAAAAAAAAATGAAGTGAGCACCATGTTCATTTTCTCCCCTTTCTCATCCTGCAAACATAGCTAGGCATGCTCCTCAAGAGTCAGCTGGTCCTGAGAATTCCAGCTCCACCCGTCCCTAGCTTATGACCTCGGGCCAGTTACTTTAATCTCTCGGTGCTATTTCTGCATCAGTAAAATGAGGTTAAAAATAATATTCACCTCATAGAGTTGTTGTAAGCTAATCCATGTACACAATGTAAAAGGATGCCTGGTACAGAGCTGGTGTTAGGTATCTGTTAGCTACTGTTACTTCTCCATTTTTTGTAAATTTCTAGTAATTTTCTGGCTTTTTAGAGATGTGAGGTAGGAAAGAATAAGGGAGGAAAAAAGGTCAGGTCCAACCTCCAGTGGGTTATTTGTGGTCTGTAGCAATATCACATCCCCGCATCCCCTTCTTTCACATCTGTGTTTTTTTGATAGCATTAGGGAGTTGGTTACAATAACGTGGATGAGAAGCTTGAATCTTTCTGCTCATTATTCATGCGTCTGTGTTTGGCCTTTATTGATTATCCGACTTAGGGCACTATGCAAATGTGCAATCTGTAGAGAGGAGGGAATTTTCCCTTAAGGAATCTACAGCCATTTAGTTAGTGGTATAAATCATTAACATCTAATCAGGCTCACAAGGGAGAGGATATATGTATACTTACAGCTGATTCACACTGTTGTTCACCAGAAACCAACACAACATTGTAAAGCAATTATCTTCCACTTAAAAAAATCTAATCAGAAAAATTATGTTTGGAATATTCTGTTAAATCCCAATAAATAAAACTAATCAGAAATGGTCTAAAATATCATATGATACCACCTATATGTGGGACGTAAAAAAATTACACACTAAAAAATAAACAAATGACACAAATGAACTTATTTACAAAATAGAAATAGACTCAAAGATATAGAATACAAACTTAGAGTTACCAAAGGGGAAAATGAGGATAAATTGGGATTAACAGAGACAATTTTGTGTGTGTGTGTGACTCTCTGCGACCCCATGGACTATAGCCCATCAGGCTCCTCTGTCCATGGAATTCTCCAGGCAAGAATACTGGAGTGGGTTGCCATTTCCTCCTCCAGGGGATCTGCCCAACCCAGGGATCGAACCCACGTCTCTTGCGTTAGCAGGAATATTCTTTATCACTGTACCGCCTAGGAAGCCCAACAGATTACACATTAGTATGTATAAAACAGATAAACAACAAGGAACTAATATATAGCACAGGGAACTATATTCAATATCTTGTAATACCCTATAATGGAAAAGAATCTGAAAAAGAATTTGTATAGTGATAAAACTAAATCACTTTGCTGTACACCTAAAGCATTATAACATTATAAATCAGCTATAGTTCAATTAAAAAGAGAAATGGCCTAGGAAAAGTATTTTGTGAGAACAATTCAGTTTCTGCAGTAAGAGGCTGATATCTTTAGCCATGTTGACATATGGCACTGGTATTCAGACTACAGATGTCGTCTCTTGTCCCTTCATCTCTACCAAGACCTTCCTTTGAAATTGCCTGGCATTTTTCCTTCTCTTGTGAACAGAAGCTCCCTGTTCAAGCTTAGATCAAACACTTTTCACCTCGAGTCATTCAGTGAACAGCTACTGAATGCCTGGTATGAACCTAAGCACTCTGAGTCCGTTTTAGCCAAAATCGTTTGAGATTATGAATTATCTGGATACAGACTTTAATTTCCTATTTCATTTTTGGTTGTATTTTCACTCATAAACTATGCCTTTTCATTTGTCATCTGGGCTTTACTGAGATGAAGTATGTGGCCACTTTTCAAAATCAGGAATCTAATAGATGACACACTCTCTCTTGAAAGTCAATCAATCATTTCACAGCAAGAAATAGGATCCGTTTTTAATTTGATTCTTTTTATGGGCTCAAAAGGGATTCCTAGTTGGTACAGTGGTAAAGAATCTGCCTGCCAATGCAGGAGACACAGGAGACATGGGTTTGATTCCTGGGCTGGGAAGATTCCCTGGAAGAGGAAATGGTAACCCACTCCAGTATTCCTGCCTAGAGAATTCCAAGGACAGAGGAGCCTGGTGGGCTGTAGTCCATGGGGTCGCAGAGTCAGACACAACTGAGTGTAGCACAGCCTCAGCATGGGCTCAGAAAAGTTCATGTGTTAAGTGTTTTTGAACTGCTAGCAAAATTTTATCAGGTCTTCCAATATATTATACTTCACTTAGACCACTAATGGTGATATGCTTGATGGTAACTGAGCATGTCCAATAAATGGAAAATTATGGGGTAATGTTGTACTTTGCAAAGAGAACTTAGTGTTTGATCTGAGTCAGTCACTTACTTACTCCTCTGTTCAATTTTCATATGGTGAAAACCAGAAGTTTATCATGGTTAAGACTGAATGACTTTTAAAGTTCTTAGATCCCTAAATTACTAGGATTCTAAATCTGTGTTCTCCAATATGTAGCCGGTGACCACACATGGTTTCTGAGCACTTGAAATGGAGCTAGTCTAAACTGAGATGTGCTCTAAGTATAAAATACACACCAGCTTTTGAAGAGTTAGTATAAAATAAAGTATGTAACACAGTTTGGCTACATTGGATTAAATAAAATATTTTATTAAAATCAACCCTACCAACTTGTTTTTATTTAGTATGGTTACAAAAAATTCAAAACTGCTTTTGTACCATTTTAGACATTCAAAACAAAGGGATCATAATCTATCTTTAGGGACTTCTTAATGTGTAATGGTTAATGCTTCAGTATTGAGATCCTCACGCCTCTAAAAGTCAAGTCAAAACTCGTATCTACCCAAAACGAATACACCCTGCATGGGCAGATATTTACCACCTAGTAACTCTTTTTTAAAAAAATTATTTGTGTGCATCGGGTCTTGGTTGAGACACGGGGATCTTTCAGTTGCAGCATACAGAATCTTTTGTTGTGGCGTGGGAACTCTTAGTTGCGGCATGTGGGATCTAGTTCCCTGGCCAGGGATGGAACTGAGGCCCCCTGCATCGTGCAGAGTCTTAGCCACTGGACCAACCAGGGGAGTCCCATCACCCAGTAACTCTTAGTTACTCTCCATGGGGTCCATGCAGTCCATGGGGTTGTAAAGAGTCGGACGCGACTGAGCACTGAACTGAACTAAACTTTCCGTTGAGGTCTTGTGAAATTCTGTGGTTACAATAATGAACGCTCACCCCTATGGTTATTGTCTCAACTATATCAAAAGATTATCAGGAAAGACACCAAAATGTTAACAGTGCTTGTTTCTGGGTAGTGGGGGCATTGATTCATTTTTTCTTTCTTTTTTTTTTTGTTATCTTTCAGGCTTTCAACAAACAACGAGGGCTGTTATGCTTCTTCATCAGAAAAATCTATCTTTAAATTTCAGTGTGAATGATCTCTTGAAGTGTATAAACATCACAAATATGTAAGAAAGAGGCCAACTTAGATGGAAATATTTCAACATGCTTTCATCCGCTTTGCTTCATTTCCAAATTTTCTATAGTGAATAGGCTACTTCTACTAAGGGAAAAAATACATCTCATTTAAAAACTGCACTATCCACCTACCCTTTTAACCTTAAACCTAAGTTAATTTGAATGATGATTTCCTTATAATGACGCTTCTATCTCCTGTGTATTAATTAGACTGTAGAAGAAATACTTGAGGTTTCAGCTTCAGTCATATGCCAGAAGAGCTATTTAAATATTTTTACACCTTACTGTCCACCAGAACAGCATTTAGTTTGAGTCTATGCAGGAGATGGGGAGGAAGCTCCAAAGATATTTGAATGCGTCACCATGTAAGCGGTTTAGGTTTTACTGCAGGAACGCTCGTGTAAAGGGGTGCCACTTGCATCAGTACTGTAGCCAGAGTGAGGATAACACTCCTATGTGCTGTCCACACCAGCTCAGACTGCCACGGACATGCACACTCAGGAAGGCTCTAGCTCGGGCACACACACACACACACACGCGCGCGCGCGCGGTGCGCCCCACCCCAGTCCCACTACCCATCGGCTGCAGTTGCCTTTCTCCCTTGCCTTCCACTCTCAGAGGTCAGACCCACCGCCCAGCTTGCTTCTGGTACCACGGGGTGTGTGCAATGCGGTGGCATCGGGTGTGCGTGAGCGAGACCCATGCCAGCGCTACTGTCTGCCCTGCTGCCTCGGGAGTGAGCTGGGCCTCGCGAGGACTGTCGGCTGTGACGGGTCAGCCGGGCAACATTCTGGTCATTTAATTTCTTTTTTTTTTTTTTCCTTCTTGAGGACAAGTGCCTCCTTCCAATTCTCACGAGGGAACAGCTTTTGGGAATAAGGGCGCTTGGTGTGTGCACGGCAGAACTTACTGTTGGTGGTGAAGATGATTTCTCCCTCCTGAGGGGTGGGGTCTGGGTCCTGGACGACCTGCAATGCTCCCACAGTCCGGACAGCAGGGTCCAAAGTGACCGAGCTTTCGTTTACGGTCGTGTCACTTGCGCCTGTGATCTGGTTGGTGGGCGGACCTCCCAGAGATCCCTCGTAGTCGATGGGCACATCGTCCAGGCAGTCGGCGTTGGGCTGACAGGAGCAGAAAAGGACGTTCTTAGTGTACGTCATCAAGTTAGGGATGAGATGTCTACAGCCTCAATATTTTGTCCTGCCAGAAACTAAGTTTTTTACTGTCTTCCTGAATCACTTTACTTAAAGACGTTCCACAATATAGCTCCTGTAATTAACATGAGCACATCTTCCAAAATTTCTTTCCGAAGTCTCCGTTTAGATCTAGAGACAAGGTTTTAATTCCCGGAGTAGTAATATCCATACATTAATAAAATTAGTTAAGGGGAATAATATGACATTATCTATAATAATGGCTCTTTCTTATATATAGTGTTTACTTTTCATAATAGGAAGTAGATGACAGCCTGATAATTCGCCCCAAAGACCCATATGTTGTTTGCAAATGAACTACTGGCATGAGAGGGGAGACAGAATAAGATGCATTGTGAATTGTTCATCAGAGATACACACATATACACAAACACACACACACACACAAAAGCACAAGCATTTGTTGTTGACATAAGCCAAAAAACCAGCTGGAGAAAAGAGTCCTATTTGTAGAACATACAATTGATCACATATTTATCAAATTCTCTAAATTAAAATCTTAAAATCATAAAACAAGGGTGAGGCCATCCAGTGTAATTACCTACTTACTGCAGGACTCTTGCCCCTCCTAATCCTTCAGAGCTCCACTTGAAACACATAGAAATGGGAGGCTCCCTATTTGGTAAGACAGCCTGTGTCACCAGCTTTCTAAATTATTTTTTTATTGGGCTATCTTACAGTCTTACTCTGGTTTTAGTTCTGCTGGTTGAAGTGGTGTTGAATATATGAATATCTCCTCCATGAGCAGCTTTTGAAAAATGATTTTCAGTTGTTCTGCCCCTGCCCAAACTCATAAAAATTACTTTTAAAAGCTGGGGGTGGAGAGATCTGATCTTGAGAAGTAGTAGGAATAACTACTTATCATTTTTTTTTTTTTTGCATCAGTCTAAACAGCAACATTGCCTTGAGTGATGACAATGACACGGCTTTGTATCCCTAAAGGGTAGGTAAGGAAAACCCTGGGTTGATACTGATTGAATTAACATCACAATGACCAGATTGGGTGCAAAGTTCAAAGAGAAAATCTACAACTCCAGGACTCACCTGAGCACAAAGAAAGGAATTCAACCTGCTGACGCCTGCGCTGGATTTCCATTCGGAAACCAAGCGTCCTGAGCTCCATACCTGCGTTTCCAGCAGTCAGCTGGGAATCCCCATCATCCCACAAAACCCTCAAATTCAGCTCATTCCCTCTCCCCTGTGTCCTCTTTTCTTTCTGCTCTCTCCATTTCCACTGGCAGTGAGTCAATTCATTGAAATTCGAGTGGTCAAAAGTCAACTCACAGAATTGACCTCCTGAGATGACTGGACACGAGCAGGTATGTTCTGCATGCTTTCCGCCCCATTCCCAGTCTCCCCATCTCCCTGCGGTTTCTTCCCCAGTGTGCTCCATTCTCCACTTTCTCACCAGAGTACTTAAAAAAAAACATAGATATGATTTTTTTTTTTTAAATCCCCTAAATGAATGATAAGCTCCTTACTACAGCAAACAGGTAGTGGACAGCCTGGCCCCAGCCTACTTTTCTGGCCTTACCTTCAGCCTTTGGAATATATCGCCTATTTCAGTGACTTAGCACGCGCTGTTCCTCTACTGAGGATGACGTCTGCCCCAATCATCCCCTTCCCCATGCCAAGGTCTCAAGCTTACCCTGGTGATCTTCTAACCACCCCTCAAATCTCAGGCCAAAATGCCTCTTTGCTGAGTGATGCTCCCTCCCAAGTAGTCACCTTCGATACTGTAACTTTTCACACTTCTCCAACTCTGTGGGACTCATTTGTTACTATGTTTGTCTCACTCTACTAGTATACAGGCTTCTTTTTTTTTTAATTCCAACTTTATGGAGATAAAATTGGCATGGAATATTGCATTAAAGTTGTACAATGATTTGATACACGTACATATTGCAAGATGATCACCACAATAAGTTTAGTTAATATCCACTACCTCACATGGTTACAAATTTTTTATTTTTGTGATGAGAACTTTTAGGATCTACTCTCTCAGCAACTTTAAAAAATACAACGCAGTGTTGTGAACTATGGTCACCAAGCTGAACATTATATCCCCAGGAATTATTTTATAACTGGAAGTTTGTACCTCCTGACACCCTCACCCAATTTCCCCCCCCACCCCCCACCTCTGGCAATCGCCAATCTATTTTCTGTTTCTATTCCATGCGGATTCCACATACAAGTGAGACATAAGCTTCTTAAAGTGAATCAACTACACTGATCTTGAATTCTAAGCCCTCACGTAGTGCCTGGCAATAAGTACTTGATAAATGTCAGTTGGGAAATTTTATGTAAGTCTCAGTTTATTGCTCTGAAAACTTGGGAATATTAGTGTCTGCCCAGATCTTAGATCCATGAAGGGAAGATTTGAGAAAATACTTTAAAAATTCATTTTTTTTTCATTTATTTTTATTAGTTGGAGGCTAATTACTTTACAATATTGTAGTGGGAAAAATTCAATTTTTGTGCAAAGCTAAGGCATACCTTTGAAGGGTAGCAGAATGTGCAATCCTGAAATATGTTACTTTGGCAAAAGGATTGTTTCTCTTGGGAAGTAGGTAAAGAAAGGCTCTCCCCGCCCCCAACCCTTGCTTAAAAGCAGGACACACGTTTGTAAGGGTGTCTCTCTCTCTTCTGCTAGGAAGAGGACATTCTCATCATCAGCTGCTAGGTGACTTTGAGACCAAAATGGGACAAACAACAAACCTGACTGACATGCCCTTATCTGCCTCTGGTTCCCCCATTTACCTACCTTTCCACAATCTGCTGTCCTAGAAACTCAAAGTCCTTTCCTTTTGTCTCATCACTTCTCTAAAAATTTCTTGCTCTTTTTTTTGGCTGTGTGGCATGGAATGTGGGATCTTAGTTCCCTGACCAGGGATGGAATCCATGCCCCGTGCATGGGAAGGGTGGAGTCTTAATCACCGCACTGCTGCTTTTTGAAAATGCTATATAAGATGAAGTTCTAACCTGCCCTGTGAGTCACTCATCACCAAGTGCTCCTGCGGCTACTCATGGCACATATATTCATAAACTGTTTGATTTTCTCTTGCTAATCTGTCATTTATAAGTCTCATTTATAGGGACCAGCTGGCGAACCTAGAAGAAAAAATGACTTTTTTCCCTCCCCTATTCTATGTAAAGATGCTCGTGAGCATGTCCAATTGTGTGGGGGTAGCAGGGACAAGTTCCCAGCATGGATACTGTGCCGGTTGGTCTTCCAGACATAAACGTCTGAATGTGACCATAGATGCAATAACAACTGACATATTTTTCAAAACGTTGACTTTGTTTCTTGATCATGTTCCTGCTTTCTTTCTTTTTATGAAATTATTTTTATTAATTTTGATGCAGCGTGTTCGCTTTTACTTTGTGGGCTAGGAGGAACAGTGTTATGTTTTCAAGAGAAGGGAGCAGAGGAAAAGAGAAATAGTGGATGAGCTGAGGGAGACTGTTAGCGAGAGCAGGAATGAATAATTTGTTTTAGCTATAGTATTAATACTTAACAGACCAACCTTACAGAACCTCACGGTTTACATCCACTCAAAATGGTTCATCAAAGTAGAGTAATATTTTGAAAAGAAAACCACTTTAAACACCACTAAGAGAAATTACAGTCATAATGTTTAGTAAGAGATGTCAAAAGCCATCTGTAAGTGAACAGTGTAGAGGTATTCAAAGTCAGGTTAGCAGGGAAACTCCTCAAATAAACCAACTGCTAAATAGTTAGGGACTAGTGAATACACCGACTCCACGGGATTTTCTATTCATTAACAATCATCCTGTTCATACCAGGATAATGGTGACAGGAGACAGTGCTTGCTGGGATAAAAAAGGCCTGTGTTATACAGTACCCTACAAGAGTGCTTAGTGATGTGTTCTGTCATTCTGCAAAGACACCCCTAAACCTGACTGGAGAGAAAGGAGGATGAAGCACTTGAATGTAGATAAAGGGATGAAAATGCTCTGACAATAAAGGACTCCCCCACCCACCCCTTTCAGCTCAGTCTTCTATTTCTCTTGGCAAAATATAATGGGAAAAGATACCATTGTGATGGGAATTCACAATCCATGAGCCTCGCTCTCATTCTTTAGCTCGTTTTAGAGAAACCTCTTACAAAATGAAAATGTCTCCAGCCCGAAGCTTTCCACTTGTATTTATTTGCCTTAGAGCACAAGCAGGCACAAGACTACTTAGTTAAAAACAACAGAAGAAAGACCAAAATCAAACACAAAACCCTATATTTGGATGATCTAGTGGATCAGGATTATAGCCAAGTCTTTGGTGAATGGACATTCCTCAAAGGAGAACCAGGGTGAATTTCATAAACACTCCTCTGTGACTGGCAGCCTTCCCACTCTGAAGGGCTACAAAGCCACAAACATTTACTGAGCTCTACGCACGTGTAAGGGATCCAGAGATGAAGGACCCACAGGCACCAATTATCAGAGAGGCAGACGGGCTCTTTTCAATTTTCTTTGATGAGGAAGAAATGGAGCAAAAGGAGTTTTAAAAAAAAATTATAAAACAACTTCTTTGAGCTGCATGAAAGGGTTTCAGTTAGCTACAGGAAGTTTTTCCTAATTGAGAAGGCTGTGAGCCTGTCCATTTACATGGTGAGTTCTAAGAATGGAGTGAAAACATCCCCTCTTTGGTATAATTTAAGCATGATGCTACTATGCTTAAAGGTATGGAGAACAGTATCCCAGATTGGTCCCTGATCCAGACTTCAGTACCATCCTCTAGGGCAAAGCACCAGGGAGGCCTGGTGGGCAGCCATATGCCTCAGTGCTTCATGAGAGGCAGCCTGCATGCCTGCCTTCTTCTTCACAGAGGACGTTCTGTTCTCTGGGGCCAGCTTGGGTGGTGTCATGTTCCTGTTTGACTGGCCTTTAAGAATCCTTGGCAAAATCCAAAGATGCTACTGACTTTTACTTTTTCGCAAGTGTGCTGAGTAAAATCCTATCCAGACTGGACAGGAAACAAACCATGGCCAGGATGCCCGACTGCTAAAAGTTAAAAGGTTATTTGTTTCTGGAAAGAAGCCCAAAGGCCACCCAAAAATTCCCTTTTAAAAACAATTATTAGCTGTATTCTTGAGGCATTTACAATTCTCAGATATTTACAAGGTCTGGAGAAGTTATACTTTCCCAGAAAAAAATCTGGAGTGGACTGTTATTTAGTATAAACCGTAACCACTGGGGGTGGTTCGCTTTCATTGCCCTGACCAAGGAGCACTGGGGTTGAAAACTGGGAGCTTGGAAGATAACCTCAAGCAACAAGAACTAGGCTAAACGATGTGACTGCCTACCTTTACCTGTGAACATGTTAAAGATTTTAGAACCCAAAGACACACATGCACACATGTAAATACACACATATACACATTTCCCTCCTCCCTGGTAAGAACCAGTTAGAGCCAGATATGTGACACATGCAAACAGCGAGTTAAATTTTCTAAGTCGTTAGTATCTGATAGAGATGCTGGGTTTTCTGCTCATAGTTCATGTTCACTGTCATTGATTTTCACCTTGAATTTATTATTCGTTGACAACACTGGTCTGAAAATTTAATGCATTGCCTTTCAAAATCTAGCTCAAAGCTACAGTCACACAAGTGGATTTGTGTTTGGTGTACGGACTGTAAAAAAAAAAAAAAAATCAGCATACAGCTGGCAGAGGCAGCTGGTACAGGGCAGGAAATTCAGCCTACCCGTGACCTCATGATGCTCAGGTGTGCCCTGTGCAACAGTCTTTCCAATCTTCCCGGGATAATTAGCCTTTTGGCATTAAATAAAGCCTTTGATATCTGAGCTGATCCTTTCTTCATCAGTGACATCTTGGGACTTTAAAAACTCTATTTATTCTCTGCCATGAGTAGTGACGAGTGACAAGAGGGAGGCTGCAGCAAAGCGGAGGGGGCGAGGGGGATGAGGGTCTCTATCCTGCTGGTCTAGCTTCTCTTAGACGGCACCGATGCTGTTCTCACATCTCTCCGCAGCCCTTGGGTCTGGTGGCCTGGCTTGCTTCCCGCCCTCGTGACAGCAGCTGGTGTCTCACCAACCACCAGCCCATGGCCTTCACTCCATACGATCCTGGGAAAGTCCTTCCCTGGAGCATCAAGCCAGCCTGCTGGGGGATGTGGTGTGCACTCGGTGAGACTACGTTTGCTAAAACATGTAACTGAGGGCTCCAGTTTGATGGGAGCATGGGAATTTAGGGCTTCTGGCTCTGGTTTCCTGCTCTCTCAAGCTCTCGTGGAGATCTGAGTTTAGCAGAGGCCACCGAGCCAGATGCCCAGAGGCTGACCTCTTCACCCCTTGTCCGGAAGAGTTTGTCTCCTCTGGAAGCTGGGCGACGGTGGGGAGAGCGTGGCGGCTGGGTCTGCCTGATGACGGTGCAGGTAAATGACAAGAGGGTCATCAGGGCACCCCTGGCTCTGCCGGTATCCCAGCTGCTGTCACCCACTGCAGCCCAGAAGAGGAGCCCGTGAGCTGCTCAGGCAGCATCTCGACCCACAGACAAAAGCAACAAACACGGTGGGAGGGTCACGATGTTCTCAGATGGAGACGAAGGGAGAGGAGGAATGTGTCCAGATGTGGGAAAGCGCTCCCAGGCCCTCAGCACGCGACGCCACTGCCCGGGGTCGAGGGGACACAGAAACCCGGGGTGCTGTTTTCTCCCTGCTGAGTGGGAAATGTGGAGAGACAGACACGATGAGGCTGTAGGCTGTACTGTGCTTACCGGGATCCCTAGGGCTTTAAGAATGTTCATCTTGCACATGGGACAGGTGCGATGGTCTAGGAGCCAGGGGTCAACACAGCACTTGTGGAAAAGATGCCTGCAATGAGAACCGTACATCTTAGCGTGGCGGTAACTGCGGAGCGCACCGCGTCCACTCCAGCCCGGAGACTTGTCCAAAGTCTTGCACCGCTCACCGGCAGAGCCAAGACTCCGGGACCTCCGCCTCCGGACACCCGGGCCGATAATGCTTTCTGTTACATCCTGTGGTCATACAGTCAGCATCTGTCTGGCTCCCAGGAGGGTCATCTATGAATTGCAGCCAAGACTTCCAAGTTTCAGAAAAGACAGAGAACGTAGAAACAGAGAGATGTTTCCGGATAGAAAGACCTTTTAACGGAAAGAAGGCAAGTGGGAGAAACTTGCACAGACCCTTCTGGGATAACTTGACAGTGGCCACTTTTAAATCAATCCCAAATGTCTTGTCCCACCATCAGAAAAAAACCACAAAATAAGCCTTATTTCCACTGATATTCGGGCGACTCACAAAGGGCAGAAGAGCTCTTGGAAGCAATTCACAGCACAGGTGAGATTTTAAGCTGTCATGACTGGTGGCTGTCAGGTCAGAAACCAGGTGAGCGGTACTGTAAGCTTTACTGTTCGGCCTCACATGCCCACCCTCAGCCTTCTTCTGTGTGGCAGGATAAGGGGAGGCATTTAGTAGGTACGGGGGTAGAGGCTCCTAATTTCCTCTCAACTTGGCTCACAGGAGCCCACTCAGACATATCAGGGGCTGCTCGAGTCAGAAGCTTGTCTTCTCATGGAAGTCTCATGAGACTCCAGACCACAGGCAGAAGTAGTCAGAACTTCCTGCCTAGGGCAAGAAGAGAGAGAACCATCCGTGTTAAGTATGCGGGCATCCTTCGGACATGCCACCCATGCCTGACTCCTCAACCTTGCACCATTCCTGGAATCCTTCCACGCACTTCCCTCACTCTTGTGTTCTGTTGATCTAATGATTCTAAGAGTTTTGTGTTAGAAGGCTTTAGGCTCAAATGCTTACAAAGGACCTCTTAAATCAGAGAAGACTTCAAGAAGCACTGAAAGTGACATGGGGAAGAACCCATATGCCAAGGCTGGGACTGGAAGTGGACAGGAAACGATCAAATTGGGGACTGGGAAACAGAGAGGAGCCTCCTGATGTGCCCTGTGTTTCCAGGTGATTGTTTAGATGCCCTCCGGATGCCCTGAGTAGAAGAAAACACATCACATTCACTCATTCCTTTATCCATGCATCCATCTGATAAGTAATATCTGCTAAGAACTGTGTCCTTGCTGGGAAATCTGCACGATAGTGATTTAGTTCCTTTTCTTTGGGAGTGTAATGGGAGAGGCAGACACTAGTAAGATAGAAATAAGCTACTTCATGATGACAGTGCTATATACCTCATTAGAAGAACATGGCATTAGCAGGGGGTGGGGGGAGCTTGTAACCGGAGATGGGTCCTAGTTTGGATGCACAGAGAAAGTTTCCCTGATGACGTGCTGAAGCTCAGACCTGAAGGTTTACACAGACATGGTCCACGTGAAGGGGAGTGGGGAGGAAGAAGGGTCTTCTAGGCAAAATGAATGGCTTGTACAAAAGCCCCGACCTGGGCACAGAAAGACTGCCTGTCCCAGTGCAGCAGTGGGACGAAGGGGCTGATGCTGGACAAAGCATCCTGTACCCCCCACCCCTGGGTTCGATCCCTGGGTGGGGAAGATCCCCTGGAGAAGGGCATGGCTACCCACTCCAGTATTCTGGCCTGGAGAATTCCATGGACAGAGGAGCCTGGCAGGCTACACAGTCCATGGGGTTGCAAAGAGTTGGACACGACAGAGTGCCTAACACACTTACACTTTCTGTACCCCCTCACCCCAAAGCACCGATCAACCTCTCTACGTGCAGGCTCTACATTCAGAAAACAAGTTCCTAATCTAAATGTGCTCACTCACTGGTGTTGCTCCTGGTAAAATGTCAAATATTCTGGTCTCTTTGACTGTCCCTGGGAGGGCAGGCTCCATGGTATTTCCTGCACATATGCTGGAGACAGAGACAGCAGGGCCAATCAGCTGTTTTAGTCTAAGTAAGTCCCCAAGTCTCATCTGCCTCGTCTGTATGGTGAAGATACCCCATCCCTCCCTGAGTCTGCCAGGTACAAGAGCCAGTCCTTGCCACCCTAGGTGACCTCCCGCTCTGCACTGCTCATTCTTCCATCTCCTCTGGGAGGGTCAGTTTTATGAGTCAGCTTGGGTCAGCTAAACCATCAGTTACTCAGTCAAACACTAACTGAGGGTATTCTGCAGACGGGATTCATACCGACAATCTGACTTTATATCAGTAAGTCCCCTACATACGAGCCTTCCAGTTGCGAACTTTCAAAGATGAGGAAGTGCATTCCATCACCACCAGGGGTGAGTGAAATTGCAGACTGTCCTCCATTTGTGTTAGCTGAGTATCGAGGCTAACTTTGTCGGACTTAGAACAAATTGGACTTAACAAATGACTCTTGGAACAGAACTCGTTTGTATGTAGAGGGTTGATTTACTGTAAAGGAGATTATTCTAAATAATCCAGCTGGGCCTGAGCAATCAGTTGAAGAGCCTTAAGTGAAAAGTTAAAGTGAAGTCTCTCAGTCATGTCTGACTCTTTGCAGCCCCATGGACTGTAGCCTACCAGGCTCCTCTGTCCATGGGATTTCCAGGCAAGAGTACTGGAGTGAGCTGCCATTTCCTTCTCCTGGGGATCTTCCCAACCCAGGGATTGAACCCAGGTCTCTCGCATTGCAGACAGGCGCTTTACCCTCTGAGCCACCAGGGAAGCCCCTTAAGACCAAACAAAACTGGTTTCCCCGAGGAGGAAAAAACCGCCTCAAGATGGCAGCATCAGGCCCTGCTCAGCATTTCCAGCCAGTAGACCTGGCCTTCAGATTTCAGGCTTACCAGCCCTATAATCAGAAAAGCCAATTCCTTGAGAATATATAGTGGGGTACAGTGGCCATCTGGGGAACTCTGACTGGTACATCCTAAAATGAGACTATAAGCTCTCTGAGAGCAAAAACTTTCATTTGCCTAATTCACTGTCGGATCCCCAGCAACTAGACTAGATTTTGGCACACAGGTGATGCTCCAGAAATATTTCCTACATGAATGGATATTTATCAAAAGGCTGGCACTGCTCACTGCCTGCTCACGGCCATCAAGTCCATGAATGCATTCCTTCTAAACCTTTCCCACCTTCACTGCCTCTTTTCTTCTCCCCATGCTGCCCCCTCATTCATGATCTCATTAACTCTCTTTCTGGATGGTAGTAATAACATCAGAACTGCTTGTCATGCCACCAGTCTTTCCCTGTTCTTTTCATCCCACTCATCCTTGCCAGAATTATCTTCCTAAAATAAAGTGTTAGCGACGTCACCCTCTTGTTCGTTCAGTTCTGAGCTAGGAGCTGGGTACCGAGATGAATAAGATAAGGTCTCTTCCTTCAAGGCAGTAGGTTCCCTGGGAGTTGCAACAGAAAAGGTCATTGAAAGGCCACTATCTGGGATCCACTGTTTTCTGGCTGTTTGATCTTAGGCAACCCTTAGCTCTCCAAGACTTTAATCCTTTTCCCAATCAAATTTTATATTTTATAGGTATGGAGTTTGTGAGTGATCGAGTCTGTGTGTGTGTGTATGAGAGAGAGAGAGGAAATAAATAACACCCATGAAGCTTAAACCATTAAGTCCTGTCCCTCCTTAATTGTAAGCTACCATTTATCCTATTAATACCACTATTACATCTTGTTTTTAGCTATTATGTTATCACTCTGATTTCTACTTTAAACTTTCTAATGCTAAAAGCAAGTAACTGGAAATTTAAAAAAAAATCAAAGGGAGAACTAAGGACAACAAAAACAGTGCTGAAATGATACACAGAGTGATCGTGCTGGTTATTAATGAATACTCATTAACTAACATTCATTTATTCTTGGTACCATATTTTTTGGGTTGGCCGAATAGGAAGACTATATTCTTATAATTGGGATTGTAAAATGATTTTTTTCCCTCTCATATGGAAAGGAAAATATTAGTCACTAGACTAAATAAACAAAGGGATAGGGAGAAAATCTGGAGTTTAGTGAAATGCACCAACAGTTTAATAAACATCTTTAAGGCTCAGCTCGTCCTGTTTGTAAGAGTCACAGCGGGGCGCTGTCCCTTCACATGCTTCCACAAAGACTGCCTGAAAAAGTACACAGAAAGGAACAACAGGATGATAATCCATCTCCTAACACTCCTGACAAACTACAAGTACAACTGACAGTTGACCAAAACACCGCTCCTTCCTTATTCACCAAAGAGAAACGCACCTCTTATAAAGAGTTCTTCAGAGCCCTGACAAAAGACGATGTCAACTGCATCACAATGCTGAGATGATTATGAATGAGATAATCAGGAAAGTTCTCAATCTGGGGGCCAGTAATGACAAACCGTTGCTAAACTTGTTTCCACATCTATTGATTCTTTTTTTAACTTAATTTTTTTAATTAAAAATGGCTTTCATGGAGTAGAGTTGATTTACAATGTTGTGTCAGTTTTGGGTGTGCAGCAAAGGTAATCGGTTATACATACCCATATATCCACCCTTTTTTTAGATCCTGGGGCTTTCCTTTTGGCACCAATGCAAGCTGTTTCATTCCCCTTGATGAAATAGTGCTCAAAGAATGCGGGTCACTCAAGGACCACAGAATTCCACTCTTCCAGGCAACGTGTTTAAATAAGATCTATCCAGTGCTTCTGTTGTTGTTCACTCACTAAATCGTGTCCGACTCTTTGTGACCCCATGGACTATAACCGGCCAGGCTCCTCTGTCTTTGAAATTTCCCAGGCAAGAATACTGGAGTGGCTTGCCATTTCCTTCTCCAGAGGATCTTCCCCGCCCAGGGATCGAACCCCCATGTTTCTATGGGGAGTCAAAATGTTTTTTCAGAGCTTCTGAATCTTCTTTGCAAAGTTCTTAATGAGTTAAGAGTCAGTGTTTAATTAATAAACATGAATTTAATTAATAAACAATATCTA